TTCTTTTAGTACATACTCTGATTTTACCTCACTTGTCGTATTGTATAACATGTTGGTCGCAAGCAGATGCAACTACACTTAAACCTGCACTCCCTGAATGAATGAAAATGAATGCCTATATTGTTGTGTACAACGTGCAATTTGTATGTTGTTCAGTGAGACTTTAGTAATAGTCTTTTATATGTAAACTGTTTATTTGACTTTATAAATTGTCTTTTTTTATTTGTGTTACAACTTTTATTGTAAGTTGCTTAAAAGACTGTATAGATAGTCTTTCGTTTATAAGCATGAAATAACAAGAGTGATGCAATGAAACCCAGAAGAACAAGGCACAGTGACATGATATGATAAAAATGTTTATTGCGTTTATAAAGACTACACAGAAACTGGTTTGAGAGAAGAAAGAAAATGCAGGACTTGTTATAAGAGAATTGTCAAAGGACTAAAGGAGTCAATCACTGTTCAAGATCTGGGATTGGATAAATTGTACCTAGTGGTCTAACCACCCTAACACTACCCCAGACCTAAAGCTACCCATAACCATAGTGTTTCATATTGATGCTAAAGGGTGCATCCAAGCCTGACATCTGCTGGTGGAACTTGTGGACTGATTTTTATTATACTTCAACTTTTTACTTTGTATGGCAACTAAATGTAATAAAATAACTCATAGTGTTTTGTTTTCTGTGGAGTTTTGTTATTGTTATTATTATTTTTTTTTTTTTTGCATGTTTAATTCAAAGGTGTACATTAAACTAGAGTTACAACAGATATAAGAAACGTTTTTGAGGTTTGTAGCCTAATAGTGTAGTGCCTCTTTAAGAGATGAGTGTGCTGTGGAACATGTGACCGGAGTTCACTATGGAAGCGCGATTCATTTTGAATCTATAATGACTTCAACCCGGTCCTGGTGTGCAGCGACTTGGTAAGCTCTCTTAATTTTAAATGTTTTCTGGTCTGCTTTATGATGTACGCTTCATGTTGTCTGCTGTCACCATGCTATGTTGTTGTACTGTGTTTGTGTCCGTTGCACGATAAAGATATAATGCTATGCTCTGGTGACGTTAGATCTAAACAAGCTTAGTTAACTAAGTTAAGTTGACGAGGGGACCCGTGAGACAAAACTAACATTTTAGACTTACTTAGAAAATCGTTATACAAGACGTGTCCATTTGTGTTTACTTTATCTGACTTTAAAAATGTTTGAAGTATAAATCGCGGACTGTAGCGAGTAATGTTATTCTTCCTGGTTTGCCGCGGGGCATTCTGGGAAATGTAGTTCCAGCTGTAGTTTACTGCTTGCATGGGTTCAGTAGGACTTGAGGATGGTGCATAATGTGTGAAGTGTTAGGCATGTACATGACAATTATGTGTTGATGATTATTGTTATTATTAGGGCATATAAATTATTATTATAAATGTTTTGTATATTGATTAATGTTATTTATTGTTGCATATTGTTATTGGGCTAATTAATTATGTTTGAAGTAGTACACGCATTGTATTTTCTTATCTTCTCAGGTTTATTACCTGGTTATTTATTTGTGAAAAATAAACAAATAAAGTGAAATACCGAGTAATATCCATCCTTTGTGCACTGGGTTGCCCTTTCCATGGGGGGGAACATGGAACACATAATAACTATTATAAAAAAGATTGCCTGCAACATGTCTCTGCTTTTATAAATAACCAAACCATGGAGGGGTCTTTTCTTAGACTGTAAGTATGAATCTGAGTACTTATTATCTAGTATAGAATTTGACCAACTTTACCATACCTGAGATCATAAACAAAATAAGGTTGAAGGTGCTGATGATCTAGATATTCATGCATATGAATGTAAGTTAACCTTTCTTTCCTTTCGTGTTTGCATAATGTTTTGTTCAAAAAACGTTCTGGGAACATTACCATGAAGTTCTCATAATGTTTTTAGCGGGTAGTTTTATTTTGGTTCCCAGAATGTTCTCCTAAAAGGAACATTTTTTTCCTTGCTATGTTTTTAAGGTGGTAATTGGCAGACCTTGTTACAGCCTTAACGTGATTGTTAAAGTTCAAGTCTGGATCCATAATTACGCCAAGATTTCTGGCTTTGTCAGTTGTTTTAAACATAGTTGTTGTTTGGAGATGAGTGCTGACTTTTAGGCATTCGTCTTTTGCTCCAAAAACAATCACCTCAGTTTTATCCTCATTTAATTGTAAAAAGTTCTGTGGCACATCCAGTAATTAATTTCTTCAATGCACCTAGCCAATTCCTGTATTGGCCTGTAGTCTCCGTGTGACAAAGTTATGTAGACTTGCGTGTCATCCGCATAACTGTGATAACTAATATTGTTTCTTTCCATGATTTTAGCTAGAGGAAGCATGTAGATATTGAACAGCAAAGGTCCCAGGATGGAGCCTTGGGGAACTCCACACGTCATATTTAAGTGCTCAGATGTAAAACTGCTTATGGACACATAGTAGTTTCTGTTTTTAAGTAGGATTCAAACCTCTTTAAAACTGAATCAGAAAGGCCTATCAAGTTTTCCAATCGGTTTAAAAGTATGTTGTGGTCGACCGTATCAAAAGCAGAACTGAGATCTAGCAATACTAGTAGTTTTGCCGTAGTCTATGTTTAGGTGGATGTCATTTAAGAGCCGTCTCAGTGCTGTAATGTGGTCGAAAACCCGACTGGAAGACATCAAAAATATTGTTTAGGGATAAAAAAAGGTTTAGTTGTTGAAAAACCACCCTTTTAATTATTTTACTTAAAAATGGAAGGTTTATATTGGTCTTTAGTTATCCATTATTAACTTATCTAGATTGCTCTTTTTTAAAAGTGGCTTTATTACAGCAGTTTTAGTGCCTGAGGAAAGATACCTGCTTGACGAGACATGCTAACAATCTGTATAAGGTTTAAGACCAAAGAGTTTGAAACATAAAAAAAAAAAAAGTCTGTCGGCAGGATGTCAAGGCAACAGGACGTAGTGTTCAGATGTTGAGTAATATCCTCCAAGTTATTTTTGTTAACTAGTTGAAAGTCTGTCATATGGAAATTGAGTTCACCAGAGTGGTTCGGTATTACGTAATCTACACATGATAGGGAGGCACTAACTGAATGTCTAATTGATTGTCTAATTATTTTAACTGAAGAATGTGGCAAAATCATTGCAGGCCTTTCTGTTGTGATGGTTGTTGGTTGGTAAATTAACGTTTTATCAGAAAATGAATACGGTTCATTACTGTACATTTAAAGTTAAGTCTGTAAAACCATAAACGTTCCTACCGTATTTTTAATGGTAAAGTTCTGGCAACCACAGATTTTTTTGTTGTTTTTTTTACGGTTTTATTTTTTACAGTGAACCTTCATAACTCTGATTGGCTGTTCATCGAATGAGTCAGTGCATAAGAACAGACAGGCTGTTCAAAATGTAACAGCATCTTAAAGCGAATATTTTATTATTAACACGAACGGAGTGGAAAAAAGAAAGTGATCAGCAGGATTTATATATTTAAAACAGTAAGCATGATTTGTTTATGGGTCGTGTGGCTCGCAGCTTCGGTTTCCCTTTTTGAATGATGAATATCTATATACAGTATACTTTTAATAGGATTTTTTGAAATTACTTATGGAAACGTTTTCAATAAAAGGCACATCAGTAACCCTACATTATTCTTCTGCAAGTTAACAGCAGTAAACAGTAAAGTAAAGTAAAGTTTTTCTGACATAGATTCGGCCTTATTGTGAGTGATTTTGGAATCTGTTTTTCTTCTAAAAAGAGAAAATTAATAAAGCTCATCATTAACAATTCATAATGTTCATCGTCATCTTTAAAAAAAAAAACCTGACTGCCTATTTGAAAATATTTTTTAATTTATTTTAAAGCAAGTACATAAAATAAAGTTTGAAGTGTTACACATCAAAAATAACAAAAAGAACAGTAGGAAACAATACAAATGAACATAAAATGTAGTAAGGTATAAATATATATCAATTCTCAGTATAAAACAAACAATGTACATAAATAACATTGTTTTAAAAATAATCTAACAAATTGTTCAAAACAGCAGTGATGGACCATAATTTCTCAGCAAATTTTGGTTTGGAAATATTGTTTCACAATAATTTTCTCCATTCTTGTCTCACAGTCCTAAAGCAGTATGTTACTGTTAAACTATTTTTAATGACACTAAACTAATGCATGGCAGCTTTAACAGGAATATACCATCAACTGATAACTTCAGCCAGAGGACAAGTGTGGCTTTAAAGGTTTTATTCAGAATGGCTATAGTTGCCTTCCAGAGAAAATAAATGGGATTTTTAGACGTTCCAGAACCTATTAGAATAGTTGTAATTCAAGTGGTTACTTCAATCCCTGATAAAATTAGAAAACAATGTTTTTATGAATTGGCACTTTTATATGAAACTGTATGACTTGACAATTAGCAAAAGCTCCATAAACCTAACCCTCAGTGGCATGTAAGCAAATCTCGAACACATAAAAAAGGTTTGCCTCCCATTTTCCAACATATACAATAGTTACAAATGTACATAATCAAGTGAGTTGGTTCCATCACAACAAAACACAGAGTCGCCTTCCCCTTGCTAACCAAATGAACATATCTTTTAGTCATTTCGTTCGTTGAAAGAACCAAATGTGTCGAAAAAAGATTCGTTCAACAGGAGAGTCATGAACGCGCATCACAGAACAGAGCAAGGTGAGCATGAGTGCTTATAAAACTTAAAATTTGTTATTAATTTTTTAATGAGCACTCATTTGGCTTGATAAGACCCTTATTCATCGTCTGGAATCGTTTAAAGCCCTTTGATCAGTTTGCACTGAAACTCTCATTTGGACCTTGAACCGTTTGGTTCCCATTGAAGTCCATTATATGGAGAACATCCTGGAATGTTTTCATCAAAAACCTTAATTTCTTTTCGACTGAAGAAAGAAAGACATGGACATCTTGGATGACATGGGGGTGAGTAAAAAAAAACAAAACTTTTGCTGATAATTTAAAGTAAACTACTCCTTTAACTAACCCACAACCAACCTTTGTATAAAAAGCCTCTGCTAAATCAATAAATGTAAAACTATCAAATAATTTAATTCAAACAAAGTTGAAGTAATAATAGTTTTAAAAAGCATAACCAGTCATAATAACATCTTTAATATTTACATAAAAGTTAAAGTTAGGGACTTTGTAATGAATCTATGTGGGCTGTAAAGCATTTGTCCTCAACAGCAGCTAATTGTCCAATTTGGGTGAAATGGAAATGTTTTTACATAATTTCATGCTGGTTCTCACAGGCCACCACAACTTCCTCTCTATCCTGCAAGAAAGCAAGAAAATCACAGATCACAAAATGAGATAAATCAACATCATCATTTATTGTTATAGAAACTCAGAAAATCAGCATATTTGTTATCTAGAAGCGAATAAAGTTCTGCTTATGCCTCACTGGAATGATAGTGATGTGATTTCCGTTTGGCCATTGGGAACAATGCATTTCAGCTCTTCAACAATAAATGATATAGAAGCTTTTTGGTGTTCAGAGTTCAGACACTTTGATGTGTTTGCTGTTTTTACTTTATTTTATATCATTAACATTGAGGGACATGCACATCACCAATATTTGATTTTGTTGATGTTCTGTTGCACTGTGTAGTACCTCTCTATGCAGTTATGATGACAAAAAAAAAACTTTTTTAAGCTGGTCCACCACAGCACCATTAATAGTGTGAATTCAAGCTTAAATAATAATAATGGTGAAAAAATTCAAGGTACCTAAGCAAATATAAATAATCTGTTCCTGTTTTACAAAATAAATGACAGTAATGTTGTTGCCATTTGGATTTTGAATTGAACGCATATCATTTACAGGACTTCGTTTGAATGTGCAAGAAACATTAACAGAGTCGGTTTTGGGATTTTAGGCATTTGATTAAGAGTGAATGTGTGCATAGTTTAAAAATATTACTAGCAAATAGTTCTAATGCATTACAATAATTATATTTTTGATAAAAATATTTTTCATTATTCTCCACAAATCCCTTTAAATCCTGGGTCAGTGAGGTCTTGCGATGGTGCTGTATTCACTTGCGCGCGCACACACACGCGCTATCTTTGCAGGGACTTCTCCATAGACGCAATGGTTTTTATAGTGTACAAACTGTGTATTATCTTCCCTTACACTAACCCTACCCCCTAAACCTATCCATCAGTTTTATATTTTTTAAAAATATAATTTAGTGTTTATTAACCCCTTTCCCTTGTGGGGAACCACTGGCTGCTCCACACAATGTAGGTGATCTCAGGTTTTTACGACCCTTGTCCCCACAATGTAATATAAACCTGTACATACACACACTATATCTCTCTTACATGAACTTAGGTTTTGCATGTGTACATTACAGATAATGATATTAAGACATAAACAAACAAACAAAACAAAAATACATTGACGGCATTCTTGTACTGTTTTTTTTTTGTTCATTTAAAGGGTTAGTTCACCCAAAAATGAAAATTCTGTCAGTATTTACTCACCCTCATGTTGTTCCAACCCCGTAAGACCTTCGTTCATCTTCGGAAAACGAATTAAGATATTTAAGATATTAAAATCGCTCCTGCACACAGTCCATAGGCTTCTTGAGGGACTGGCTCTTGCCGTCCCCGAAAAGTCATAAAAGACATCGTTAAAATAGTCCAAGTGACTACAGGGGCTCAATCTTAAGTTTATCAAACGACGAGAACACTTTTGTGCGCAAAAAAACAACAAAAATAACGACTTTATTTCAACTATTCGTTTATTTCTCCCTCTGCGCGAGTCAGGTTACTAGTTTAATAGCGAAAGCTTCTGTTATTGTACGTCACACGCATCACACACATGACCAGCGTCGACCAATAGTGAGCCTACGTGTGACGTAGCTCTACGCAATCACACTACGTTAACGGACAATAGGCTTATGGAGAAGGAAGTGAATAGTTGAAATAAAGTCGTTATTTTTGTTGTTTTTTTGCGCACAAAAGTGTTCTCGTCGTTTGATAAAGTTAAGATTGAGCCCCTGTAGTCACTTGGACTATTTTAACGATGTCTTTAATGACTTTTCGAGGACAGCAAGAGCCAGTCCCTCAAGAAGCCTATGGACTGTATGCAGGAGCGATTTTAATATCCTAAATATCTTAATTTGTGTTCCGAAGATGAACGAAGGTCTTACGGGGTTGGAACAACATGAGGGTGAGTAAATACTGACAGAATTTTCATTTTTGGGTGAACTAACCCTTTAACACACACACACACAATCAATTAGCACACCAAACTCCGTTCTAAATCTGCTTTACATTCATAGTTTTCTACAATAACATACACATCTTACCTGTTTTTCCAAAAGACGCTTTCCAGTTAGTTTCTCTGTGTCTGCTTTGTAAAACAAAATCACATGCACAATTATACACAAATTTTGCACAATAAATGTGTTTTCATCTCACTATGTCTGTAGGTGATACTTTCCATTTCTAGAGCTCCTGCGGCGAAGGTACATCACACCAACAGCTGAAACCACACACACCAGCAGAACAGCAAAAGATACTGCTGCTACAACAGCTGTAGACAGACCTGAACCTGGAACAGCTAAAGACAAACAGACATTATTGTGCGAGTCAGTCTGACAGTGCGTTTAGAACATTTCATTGGATGTATTCTCAAATGTATAGACATCAATACAGGTCGGATAAAGTGAAGGCATGGATATATTATTAAAGAGTAACTAAACACTAAACCAACTTTTTTTTAGTTAACGATCTGTAAGAATGGATCTTTATTAATACCAGTCATTGATTTGAGTAACTTTTTTGACATTTGTGTATAAAGTTAGCCTGGATGCCAGCCCGAACTCCGCCCACAACATTTTTTGGACGGGAAGTTCGGTCTGGACTCGATCCATTGAGGAGTAATTATGATCGTTTCAGAAATCATCGGGCCAATCAAATTGCCGGGGCGGGCTTTATACGATGATGGACAGGTGGTCTTCAGTAACGTAATCCTCACGTCATCAAAGTGCGCTTGTAAAAGATGACTGCAGCTGGAGAATTGAGATGTATAGATTCTGCTGTCGCGTCTTTTGTAAAAAAAAAAAAATCGACAGCGCATTCATTTTAATAGACAAACAGAGAACTGCAATCAAGGCATTTGTCGATCAGAAAGATATTTTTTTACCGTCCTTCCAACATGATTCGGGAAAAATGTAACTTATCAGCTGGCTCTGACGGTCGTTAAGAAGATGGGACGTAATGAAAAGCCTGTGGTCGTTGTGGTTTCTCCTTTGGTCGCACTCATGGAGAAGTAAGTAAAAGAAGCAACACTCGTTATTTAACTTCTAAAATAAATAAAGTAGGCTACGTTCTGTATTTGAAAACTGCGCTATGCAAAGGAGTTGACTTATGCGTTGCTCTGATTGGTTGGTAGGTCTACCGACTATCCAATTGAGTGCAGAGGTTTTTTTTCCTGGTTTGGTTACGACACGCCTCATAATCAAAGCCCAATGGAGGAGTTTCAGACTCATATTCTCTCTTGAATATGAGTATGAGGAAGTCAGGCTAGTATAAAGTGTTTTATTTCTACAAAATCTGGTGTAAAAACATCTTAGTGCTGCCCTCTTCAGGTTGAACGGTGGCAACTGCAGTTGAATTTTCCTATTGGATGTTAGCGGTTCGTTGTGACGTACGCAGGTTTCGGCTCACCACGCCCTTGGCAGTATAAAAACCAGCTTGTTTCGTCAAAACCACTGTAGCGAGTCAGGAGTTGGAATTGCGAGAATTGAAAACGATCAGGATAGCGTGTTTTAGCATCTATTTCGTCCCCTCTATCTCCGCTGGGGTCTGCCCACTTTTTCAGCATTTTTCAAATATTGCCAGTGGGTGGAGTGGCTCTGACTAGGGGTTTAGTTACCCTTTAAAGAGATTATTCACCGACACATTTTAATTCTGTCATCCTTTACTCACCCCCAAGTTGTTCTTTCATTTGTTTTTTCCCTAGTGGACAAACAAAAAGTGTACTTTATTGTATTTGAAATACATTCCCTTTTTCAATAGTACATTGCAGCAAATATACTAACAAAAATGCTTTTACCTCTTTTCACAATACAACTTTTAAAATAACTACTATATTTTTTGATTATTGATGACTTTTTTTAAGTGTATTTATTTGCACTATTAAAAAAACAGTGTGCTGGAAATTATTATTGTAACAGTGCATTGAAAGTATACTTTCAAAACACATTATAATATAAAACAGTATTTTAGCATTCATTGTTTCAGTCCATGTCAATGATTCAGTGGCTTGCTCACAGCATGAACGTCATTTCTCCCACCAGAAATGGCCACTTTACAAATGTGTAACAATTTTATGGATCAAAATCCACACCACTATTTGAAAAGCTAGAAACACAGACATGTAGAGTAATGCAGTAAATCATTTTAAAGCATATCAGAGCTTTTATTCTAAATCTCACCATAACATATCATCTCAAGATTCTATCCTGTCTGACGGCCCAGTATTCTGAACCCAGAGCGATATTCATAACTTACACCTGGTTACCATTCAAGTCCATCCCAGTATTAACCAATACTAAACAATATCCTCTATGCAACATGGAGGAAAAAAAGACCAAAAAAATAAAAATACAGAAAGCACACCTCCATAATTTAAAAAGAACTTAAAAAGTAATATCTTCTTAATGATTTAAAACTTACTTTTATAATAGTGTATTGTTCCCTTAAAGGGTTAGTTCACCCAAAAATGAAAATTAAGTCATTAATTACTCACCTCCATGCTGTTCCAACCCCGTAAGACCTTCGTTCATCTTCGGAACACAAATAAAGATATTTTTGATTGAATCTGAGAGCTAGATCAGTCCTACATAGACTGCCTAAGGGACTGGCTCTTGACGGCCCATAAAGTTATTAAAGAAAAGGTTTAAATATTCCATGTGCCTACAGCGGCTCAATTATAAGTTTATCAAGCGACGAGACTACTTTTTGTGCGAAAAAAACATAAATAACGACTTTATTCCACTATTCCATTACTTCCTTATGGGCGCATGCGCGAGAACTGAGACGAGGACGTTCTCATTCGTCTACTTCTTGTTACCGGCTGCTCACCGCTTAGGAGTTTTACCGCCACCTACCGTATAAAATGATGATCCATATATAAGGCGCTCCGGATTATAAGGAACACTGTCGTTTTTTGAGAAGATTTGGCTTTTAAGTGCACCTTATAGTGCGGAAAATACGCAAATTGAAAAGCGTATGTACAGCGCACGTCTTCCTCTGCTTGTAAACAGAAAGTTTTGCGCTTCCAGCTATATCAGCACATCATCTTATACGGTAGGGGGCGGTAAAACTCCTAAGCGGTGAGCAGCCGGTAACAAGAAGTAGACGAATGAGAACGTCCTCGTCTCAGTTCTCGCGCATGCGCCCATAAGGAAGTAATGGAATAGTGGAATAAAGTCGTTATTTATGTTTTTTTCGCACAAAAAGTAGTCTCGTCGCTTGATAAACTTATAATTGAGCCGCTGTAGGCACATGGAATATTTAAACCTTTTCTTTAATAACTTTATGGGCCGTCAAGAGCCAGTCCCTTAGGCAGTCTATCTAGGACTGATCCAGCTCTCAGATTCAATCAAAAATATCTTTTATTTGTGTTCTGAAGATGAACGAAGGTCTTACGGGGTTGGTACAGCATGGGGGTGAGTAATTAATGACTTAATTTTCATTTTTGGGTGAACTAACCCTTTAATACGTATTTCCATTGACCACTTATAGCTTACCATTGAATTATTTCTAGATCGTATTTTGTGTAAAGTGTTGAAAGTTTCATAACATTGTAAGTGAATTAGTGGATATTGGATTGGAATAGAATGTTGTAATAAGATTTAGATTTGTCATATCCTTAAAAAAAACACCAAGAGAACATTAATATAATGAAAATAATATTTTTTGCATAACGTTTTTAGAACGTAAATATGAGAAACTGGAATATTATAATAAAGGGGAACATCTTGGAACATTAATATAATTTGAGATTGGAATTGGAATCTCAAACAAGAATGTTTAGACACACACACAAAAAAAAAACTAGACACTTTGAAAAAAAAAATTCTGAAATAACGTTTTTATATCTTAAGGGGAATGTTAAAGAAACGTTGTTATAAAGTAAAACCCGTAAGCTGAGTGTTTATTGAGTGACTCACCAGTGACGGACAGATCGATTGTTGTGTCGCTACTCATGTCCGGGCTTTTTTTGATGATTTTTGTGCTGTCACACTTGCTGTTTCTGTTCAAGCTTTGACTTTTGCCTAAACTTTTGCTTCCGATGATCTCTGCTTCATAACGTCCAGCATCTTCAAGTCTGGTTTCTGTGATGGTCAGATATCCGGTCTCATAGTCCATCTTCAGCCTGTCTCTGAATTTCCCGTCAGGACCGTCATATGAACAGCTTGCACTGAAATCTTTATTGATCTGAGCAATGCGATCGTCTTCATAATTCCACAGCACTGTATCCTGTTGCTGTTTAATATTATCAGTGCGTACGCGTAGCGTGAAAGGCTCTCCCTCCACCGCTGACTCTTTTTTTGTATCAGCATAAATACCTGGAGACCACATATATATTAGGCTACTAGACGTATGTGTGTGAATGTATGTATGTGTGTGTGTATACACATATATACATATACAAGTAATATTGTGAAATAACAATACAATTTGAACTCTTTTCTATTGTATTTTTAAAGGTATTTCTCCCTGTTACTCAAGTCTTCATTATCACATAATTCTTCAGAACTAATAGCTAATCTGCTGCTGAAGAAACATTTCTTCTTATTATTATTATTATTAGAAATGTGTGGTGTTTTTTAATCAGGATTTTTTAATTAAACAGAATAAAGATTAAAATAAAATAGAAATGGCAATTATTTTAAATGATTTAAAGTAGAAATTTTTAGTATTATAAATGTCTTTAAAAATATTGCACACTTTGCACATTTATAAGGACAGTGAGCAAAACTATATTATTATTCTTCAAACCATAAAAAAAAAAAACACAGAACAGCTGGGAATTCAATATATTCTCCAAAAACATAATATTTTAATCCATAGCCGATTAAAAAAAATATTATAACAAGACTCTTTAACGACTGGACCGAGAGAATCCGTCAAAGAGAAATTTAAAGAAAAATCTACATCACATCTAGTCATTTCACATTTATGCCTTGTGCTTTTAACAAAGTAGATTGTTACAGTGATAATAAGAAATCAAAGCAACAGAGATTGTTTTGGCTCCGTGACAGCTCTAGAATTAAGCCATTTTTTTCCTGCAGAAGTTAGTTTTAGTTTTAATGGATTCACCTCAGTTGCAACGACCACCAGCCAGTCGTTAACACGACACTGTTCCAACAGAAAACGAAGTTATCTCTATACAAACTTTAAAAAGTCGAACATGAGAACGCTGATGACGTGCACATAAGAGCCCACTCCACGGGTATGCGCGTTTGAACATATGTGCACAGGCATGTCCTTCATAAAAAAACAACCCTCAACAATCTTGTTTGACTGGCCCTAAATTTTAATACAGAATTGTATCGCTTCGGCGTAGCCACGTGAACCGGAATTATCCAGACAACGATCACCAAAGGCAAACGTAACACTGAAAATCACCAACAATTCTACATTTTAACTTTGTATATCAATTTAATGGATTTTTGCTGAATGAATATATATATATATATATATATATATATATATATATATATATATATATATTTTTTTTTTTTTTTTTTTTTTTTTACTAACCACAAACATTTGACTGGTAGTGTAGGCCTATATAATAATAGGCCCGAGAATAAATAAACACAAAATATACAGAATATTCTTGATATGAACATTACAGTAGCTCCAAATAAAGACAATAAAGCAATTGCATATTTGTTAGATACATAAAATATTGAAGCATTGTCACCGGCATCGAGAATGTCCAGAACAAGCATAAATACAGCACTGTAAATCCAATACATACCAGCCACGATAAAACACCATACAGTGAAGACAAGACAGTTTGCTTTCATTTTTACACTCTCGAGCTGGTTCCTCTTCTCAGACGACAAAGGCTGGGACTCCAGCCTGGGAGCGAGTAGTGTTAATAACAAATCATGCTGGTTTGTTGCAGTGATTAGCCTACATGAGGTGACGTATCAAAATAAATATTTTCTTCCGGTATTATGACGGATGGTTTGGCTCTGATGTACGGTGGCCGAGAAGTGCGAAACAAATCACAATGGGCTATATGCACGCATTTGTTCCGCATTTGACGTAAGGATGCTCGTCCATTTCCGGTTGTGTAGATTAAAGCGGAGGAAAACCGGAGAAAACGGGATTATGGCAGAGTCTTCAATATTTACTGTCCTCTCGTCTTTGAAACGAAACGTACATAGTTTAGATGTAATTTTATATATAGTTATGTTTATTTAATATAATTTTAAAAAGAAGCATAAACACAACGAGGGGTGTCTGTTTTATCTGTTTTTGTGACTAACGTTTCATTAGTATAACCATGGAGTATAAAATTCAATATAAATTCTCGGTATTGCATTGGACTCTATGATCGGCGGAAGTTATCGAGCATCCTTAATCCTTCACCGGAAATAACGCCGTGCATAGAGCCCATTCCGAAAACAAAATAATAAATCCAAAATCAAAACAACATATTAACGCAAATTAACAAGTTTTTAAACAAAATATATCAATTCCGAAAACAAAACGACAAATATGAAAACAAAATAGCAATTAAACACATGGACAAGTCAGAATGGAATACTGACCACCATACCACCAAATAAATGAATGTGTACAGTTTTACAAAAAAGGCATTGCAAAATTATTTTTTTAATGTAAAAAATTTGCAATGCCTTTTTTGTAAAACTGTACACATTTATTTTGTGTGTGGTGGTCGAGTGTCAATCCCCAGTCATGGCGCATAGAAGATGTGGAGACCATAAAGCAAGAGTGCTGCTTTATACAGATCAATAAACAAGAACTTAATATTGTGAATGAAAATTTGTCATTAATATACGTTTTCTCTATTACACCGTTTGAATGACTATTCACTTTCCGCCAGAGGCAGTTTTAGCTTAATATGTAAAGGATAATTTCGTTAAAAAATAATTTTATTATTATAATTTTATAATATTTTCCATACAGAAGAAAAAAATGTCAAAACAGTTTGTCATTATGTAACAGTTCCACTATTACAGGGGTAATTTTCTCCCGGCCACTAGGGGTCAGCGGGGAGAATGTTGTCTAGGACGTGGTTTCTTAAAAGAGGCAGAGAAGAGGTAGTGAGAACAGATGCTATGGGGAGGTGAGAGGACCTCCACTACTGCATGGGACTTGGGACACAATGTTAAGTCAATGTATTTTATGCTTGACATGTGATGTTTTGACATGTTGCTAAACATTGAAAGACTATTTAGATACTTGTTGTTTGGAGTCTGTAGAAAACGCCTGCAGGAATGAGAAAGGTGGCTACATTAAAAAAAGGACTGAAAGGATTGTGGATGAAAGTGGATTCTGATTTCTTCCATACACCATTTTTGGATTGGACTATTGCTTGGACAACCGACTTTTCGAACCAAATTCAGCAGAGACTTGGACTAGGAATTTCATGCATCTTTGAAGTCAAACAGGTAAGTCATGCTTTATGTGGTTGCCTAAGTAATGTTGTTTATGGAATTGAGGAGTATTTAAAGGAATGGGTAATATTGGAATGCTACTATTGTGTCCATCTGAGAGTGAAACAAGCTGCTTGGGATTGTCAATGTATAATTTTTGGTATTTTCTTTTGGTTTCTTTTCAATGTTTTGTTAATTCATATGGTTATTTTTGAAGGTCTTTTTTTTCATTTCACTGTGTAGTTAAGCAGCATTAAATAAGTCAGATGGTTCTCTCATGACCTGAAGATTGTGGTGTGATTTGTAATTGACAATTTTCAATAGGTAGAACCCCTTTCTGTTGTGTAGCCTTTACCATAGGTATAGTAGGGAGTTGGTTACTATTTAAATGCATGTTTAACCACAATGCAAAAACATACATGTCAGCAAAGCACATATTTGTCACGCAAAGTAAAACTGTGAATGTGATTCAATTACAGTTTTTTTGGTTTGTTTAAGCACGATTTTCAAAACACTACACACAATTAGCACAACCACTCACACAATTAGCAAAACACTACAGATAATTTGCATAATTAAACACTCTTTAATTAAAAAACTATACACTTCTGTTTAAAAACCACACTTTGTTACCATACTAAACACACAAGTTTCACATCCTCTGTTTGCACGAGTTACACTCTGCTGTGCACTGAAAAAAATAATATGCTTTATCTAATCAATAAAATTGTGGCAACATATTACAAGCAATATTGTTAATTAAATTGTACAAATTAGAATTAATTAGAATATTAATTTGATTAACTATTACTCAATTCTAATTTGTTAAATTAAATAAATAATATTGCTTGTAATATGTTGCCACAATTTTATTGATTAGATAAAGCATATTCATTTTTACAGTGTGATAAACCTAAAACACTTTTAGCACTTCTACTTCCCGATTAGTAGGCTACCATCAACAAAGTACAAATATAATGTAAATTCACCAAACACTACACAACACCAATGTTGCAGACTGAAGAAACTAATTTATTGCAACATGGAGATACTTAATACTGTAACAAAATGTCACTTTAAGGATTGTAATGTAAGTTTACTATAAAAAAAAAAAAATTAGACATTGTCTCTTCGCCCAGCTGGATCTGGCCAGAGAATTTCATCAACTGTCATTAGCAAGACACATTGGAAAGAAACGTCTTGAATGACGAATCCACCCTTGCATTGCTGCTACTGCATCTGGTCACAGCCTGGAGACGAAGATCATATATCTTCCACCGCCATGCCAAGAAAAACTCTTCTATAGGGTTGAGGAATGGAGAGTATGGTGGAAGATATAGGATGGTGAAATGTGGATGTTGCTGAAACCAGTTCTGAACCAGAACAGAGCGGTGGAAAGACATATTGTCCCAAAAAACAATGTATTGCACATGATTTTCTGCTGTTATATTGTGCAATTGGTCCAATAATATAAGCAGGAGTGCTGTGTTGTAAGGGCCCAAATGGGCATGGCAGTGGAGGACCCCATTCTGTGTAATGGTAGCCCAGAGTGTTTTATGACCCCCACGTTTGCACTGGGACATTGACTATAGCCCTGTGGCCAATGATGTTTCTTCCCCTCCTTCGTGTTCTCGTCAGGTTGAACCCAGCCTCATCTACGTAAATAAACTCATGCTGGATGATCCTCTTCATCCATTCATAAAACTCTCTGAAGAACAGTGTCAGGCTAATTTGTATAGATCTAGTATACATAACACAGTACAGTAAAAGATTATGAGACAGTGTGCAAGATCACACTGCTAAACTGAATACATAGCTCTACATAATCATGCCGCCGCGAAAGACACTCGATAAATTTGCTTTTTTTTTAGGATGCGTACCAGTGATGTTAAAGGTATAGCGGAGGATCTTTCCGAATTTTAGAGAAGACCCGCCATCTCCAATTTAAAAAAAAAAAATGCACATGCACAAACACAACACTCTTGCTCCCGAGAGGGAACGCCTATTACGCTTTGCACAATTATGTTGCAAATTATAAACTAACTCAAAAACATTCATAAAAAAGACAACATGTCAAATGCCCTTCCGTGTTTTATTTACTTATTATACTGATCGATTGAGTGACCGAGGACTCAAGACATGATAGGTGCGACCCTGTATCACACGAAATACGTTCTGAGGAAACTATTTAGCAAATCGCAATTACGTTACATAGCAACATATAAGCAGTGCTATTACTAGGTGCAATACCTAAGATTTTTGCATTAAAATATCCCAAAATCACAAGGCCAGTGTTATACATTTAGTAAAGATGATAACTCACAATATTCCAAATGTTTTAAACAATATTTAAATCGCGAGAAAATTGAGATTTTAACCAAGGAAACGGGACGAGTGAGCAGGGGTGAGCTGGGAGTCGCCAGTCAATCGCGTCATATCCGCTTACCTCGGTTTCCGCTCGTCTACGTGTAGGCCTAGTCCTGGACAAATGCGGTAGTTGTGCGTTAGCGTCTATCAACCGACAGCTTGTTTCGCGTCTAACAAACGACAGCTTGTTTCGCGCATTTGTTATGGAATGGAGCACAATTGTTCTTTTCATTTATTCTCGGAGTGTGAACTGTTGGCTGTAAAGGGGGTCGCACACCGGACGAGAAGCGCCGCGCCACGTTTAGGACAACTCCACAGTATCGAACACCGGACGCGCACTTTCTCATCAGTGTATGGCCAGGAATATTGTTATGTTTAATGACAGAAAATGAAGATAATGTCTGTTCTATGCTATGATTGTAATGTACAATTAAATACAATCGTTGCTGAGTCTGCATTCTGAAAACTTTACCTCAGATCATCCGTTCACGAATCTCACCTGAAAAATCTAATAATAACATCAGCAATTGTCATTCAAGCTGCTGATTTCTGTAAATCACTGCAAAACTAAATGCATATTGCAGCATAGGGCAAAGTCAGGATCCATTAGCAACGGTTTGAGACAAAAATAATTAAAATTTTATATAAAACTGTGTAATGGCGCTCTGTGGCGCAGCAGGATTTTGAACACGGTCCTGATTGAGGCGTTGCTGGGCGCCGCGGACAGACGCCGAATGGCGCCGCCGGTATGTGTACACTTATAGTAATAATGTGTTCGAATAATTATGTGGTGCGATGCGGCGCTGCAGCTTCTCGTCCGGTGTGCGACCCCCTTAACGTTAATTTTGTGAAACTGTAGCTGTGGTTGAATACTTACACGACATGAAAAGATGTGTCAAATGTACATTAAATTGATTTTTTATTTTTATAAAGTTACCAAGGAGGACCAGCCACGTCAAATCCTTGCAAGAGACCTGCCCCTTCAAACCCTCTCCACCATAGCTTCGTCCAGTGACTCGTACAGTAACATCTGTGATAACTAATTTACTTTTAAACCTGACTTTTCTTGCGTGGTTATGATCAGTTTAATGAAAAACAAGCATGTCATTAAACGCAACGTTTAGAAATCGAACTTTACCTCATCCATGACAACTAATTTTCGATTCCTGTCTGACTGATTTATCCACGGTGGAGTTGAAAACAACAGTTGCCATCATTCCGCATTTCTCCACGTCGTCATCAAGCAAAGCCATTGTTGTTGTTTTGAATGTAGCGCCCTCTAGCGGCATCTAAATCTTAGGTATTGCACCTTTAACCTAATATGTCTCATTGTTAATACGTAGGTATTAACAATGAGACATATTAGGTATTAACAATGAGACATATTAAACATATCACCAGAAAGATTGACACTTAGGTGGACCAATAGTATAGACTACCCACCGGAAAAAGAAAATCCTCCGCTATACCTTTAAGACCTGATGGATATCGTTGGCGTGGTTATAGAAGTGCTGATAGTGCATTGAATACAGTAATGTAAGCAGTTACTGAAACGTTTGATGATATTTTTACAATACTTATTTTCAGTGTTGGGTGTAACTAATTACTAAGTAATTAGTAACTGTAATTTAATTACTTTTCCATTGAAAATGTAAAGTAAGGGATTAATCTTCATTTACCTGTAATTTAATTACAGTTACTTCTGATGTAATTGAGGTAAATACTGTGTATAGATCAATCCGATCTCACAGCGATTCGTATGTATTTTATGAGATGTCTAAATATTACGACCGCACTCGTACAAATTCGTGTGAATTATTGTAAAATATGTATGAAAAAAGTGTGAAATGTCATGAGATCAGACATAAAACAATAGTGGGTTTAACATCAAAATGTAGCCTATTGTCTGATGTTAAAAACTATGTTTTTATAAAGTAACCTTCTCCACCTTGGTCAGTTTAAGGATAATTTATGCAATTTTATAGTATTTATTTGAAAGAATTAACAGATTCATGACTATCCTTGTATTATTCAGCTGGTTGAGATTGATATAGGATTTTGAAAGTAATGAGTAATTAAATACTTTTTAGAGAGAGTAATTAGTACAGTAATCTAATTACACTGTTGAAGAGGTAACTAGTAATTAACCACTTTTTTAGAGTAACTTACCCAACACTGCTTATTTTCCAGTCGAAATGTTTTATCACACTTGCCACTGTGTATCGGCTTAGATTTGGCTGTACTCACAGTCCAGCCTCTCTCAGTGTCACTCAGGCCGTGGTTGACAACGTGGTCAAACAGTGTCCTCTTCTTCCAGCATGGCCTCCATCTCTTCCTCTTCCTCTGTTGATTCCTCTTCCTCCTCCAAAAAATTAAGGATCTAGAAAATGCTGTGGCCCTGAGTTTTACATGAGGTGATGAGATACTGTGCACACATGTATAAACCACATCGTGCAAAAATAACGTTTGTTGCATTATGTGTGTGGGTGAATATGGGTTCTGGGAGACAAGAGCACTGTTGTGTGTAACTGCCAAATATAAAGACATTCAGGAATAACTGTCTAGAAAGGTAGAAATCAGATCAAATATACTGTACATTTTTTGTGTATCACTAATGCCATTGACACAGACAGGAAATGTTTTTGAAGCAGGTAAATAAAGCAATTGATGCAAGTAATATAACAATTAAAGCATGCAGATGATATGTTAATGCAAATAATAGTGTGCATCATGAATTATAAGATCACGGATTTAGGGCTCATGTGTGAAAGATCTTTTGTGGAAAAAGACAGCGAGAGAGGGAGCATACAAGCAAGCAGCAAAAGCGGAAGCCAGCTACAAAACCACATCAGAAGATCAAAGATGGAACTGAAATTATTAGAGCGGTTTAAATTAGCTGGCATATGAGCGGTGAATTTAGCTTTTGCCTCTGCAATTAATAAATTGAGAATGAGGAATGCCCTCAAACTCAGTATTGTTTCAGTTTGTTGTCTCATTGCTGTAAAGAGTAAGAATTCATTTGGGGAATCAGATTGTTTGAAGAAAAAAAAAAAAGAAAAAAAAGATTTGTATAGCGATATCCCAACAGTCAGTCAGTTGCCAAACGGTTGCAACAGAGTGGGCCGTGAGAGTGTGTGAGTATAGCTGTTTTCTGGGGGCGAATGGCCAGTGGTGGTGCACTGAACAGGCTAACGCACCCCACCTAGGTTTGGTTGTTATCTGAACCGTAGACTTAGGGGTTATGGTAGTGATCAGAGTAGAACTGCAGATATGTAATATAATCAAGAAAAATAATATTATATGTCTACACTCTGAAAAAAACGGGTTTTTTCAACCCAAATTTGGGAAAATATGGACAAATCCAGCCGTTGGATTCATTTTTTAATTTTTTTTTCCATATTTGTCACCCAAATTCGGGTTAAAACAACCCTGCATTTTACCAAGTGTACCTGTCTCTTCCTGAATCTAAAAAGCTAGACCTTCTACAAGAGCTGAGTAATATGAGTAGAGGAAGTGGCTTGTGACCAAGTGACGCAGTCACGCTAGAAACCACCCAAGGCAACACTATCAACAAAGAAACATCAAACACATGACAGAGGTCAACTCAATTGAAATTAATGTGCAAATTTTTACGATGTGTATTGTTATCTGCCATTAGAAATGGTGTAATTGGGAATATTACAACCAGTACATGCGAGAATATCTTCCATTCTTTACCCACGAATATCTGGGGTTGTTCTTGTGGCATCTGGTTGGTGAGTTAGTTATATTCTGTGTAATTCATCACTTCTTGCTGTGTTTTAAATAGCCAGAAAAACTAGAGGAATGACAAAACAATTAATTTTTATTGTACACTGGTTGTGAATTTACAAATATATTATAAAAGGAAATATTACCATAACAAATAACAGAACACATAGTTTAAATGAATGTTTAACTAAAGAGCAAAAACACATATCATAAACACAAAACCTACTAAATGTTTTGGAGTGGAGTAAAAGTAAGAGTTTAAGAAGTATAGTTCTAGAATGGAGATCATGGTTCAGGTGGTTTCTCCTGCAGGCATCAGTACAAACGGAGAATCATTCAGCCATCTTCAGAAACAGACCTCGAGAGTGCTTTTGTTCCATGGCTCGAGAAACTCCTCAACATTATCCTGCAGTTGGCGGCCATTTTGGTTAAGAGAGGGTATCTGGTGCTCAGGGTGACTACTTCTAAAACCATTGTTGTGGTCTGTTATTATTTCACGAGTTGCTGCAAGCAAAGGAGAGATGTGAGGCAATGATCTAAATGCAGAAATATAAATTCATTAAACAAAACCATAAAGCATTATAATGTACACACTGATGATAACATCAAGAAATGATCTTAATGGTTGTATAATACACAAGACAAAGAACTAATCTAGATTGAGATTAATGTGTAACCATGGAAACCAAATAAGTATGGAGAGACTCAGAACAGACAGAAAAGAAGCGACAACAACGGTCTCAAGGGTTAATTTAATAATTGAATTTGATATAGAACTTATATAGAACAGGTACAACTTGTGTTTAGTGATAAAATAATCCTATCTGCCTCAAAGAAAAGTGTTAGTGGTGGGGGTCAGATGAACAAATACAACCAACACAAGCAAGAGTACAAAGAGTGGTTTGTGGTCAAATTCTTTAGGGGAGGATTCATACCAAACACTAGCTTATATCGCAGTTTAACTCCATCCTGTTTGTCACAGAAGCATTCACTATCATTTTAAAATGGTTCACGAGGTTGTTGTTTTGCTCTACTTGTGGCATCTGGTTGGTAAGTTTTTTTTTTATATAAATATATTCCTTTTTTAACACATTAATTCTTTATATGTAAACATAGACATTTTTTTAATCACACATATCTACATTGTATGTTAAACCCTAGATAAAAGATGCTGCAATCAAACTAAAATAGAAATAAGTGACACACAAAAATCGCTTTTTTATAGTAGTTTTTATCGTAGTTTTTGTCCGACTCCATTTACTTGACGTACAAAAACTATGATAAAACCTGTTGGAAAGCATCTTTTGCAGCGATTCTTGTGTGAATCAGTGAACACCCCAGACCACTCGGTGAGTTTCACGTCTTTGTAAACTAAAGTTCAATGCGTTTTAGGAGGAATTGTTCCAGTGCACATAGACAACCATTGTGTAGGTGGGGGGTTGCAACCACAGAAACTGAAAATTCTCGTGCCAGCAGCATTTGTCCAAATTTCAATCTTAACCATTCTATTTCAACAGAAACAATCTTAAAACAGGGCTTTAAGTGTAAAATACTGAACTTTTAAAAATGATCTGCTCTGCAAGGTCAATGATTAATAAACTCTGTCCATTTACTGTAGGTTGTGCTTTGCTTGGCATGTTTGGCTTCCCATAGCCAATAATTTTTCAGAGAAAGGGCACTAAAGAGGCCAACTGTGGGATTGTTTTATGAATGAATTATAAACCAGTTGTTTAATATATATATATATATATATATATATATATATATATATATATATATATATTAAACATAAATCTGTGACAAATTCAATGTTCTGCAGGAGTGTTTGCTGGTCCAGATGCAGTGGAGTCCGTGTCAGTGACGGAGGGAGATTCAGTCTCTCTAAACTCTGGTCTCACTGAAATGATGGATGAAGATGTGATTCTGTGGAGGTTTGGAGATGAAAACACTTTAATTGCTCATATCAATGTACTGGCCGACAGTATGACTGTATATGATGATGATCTTGATGGGAGATTCAGAGACAGACTGAAGCTGGACGATCAAACTGGATCTCTGATCATCACACACACCACAACTGAACACACTGGAGTTTATACACTTCAGATCAACGGTGTGAGAAAGAGTTTCAATCTTACTGTCTATGGTGAGTTATCAGTTTCACATGTTTTAAGTATTACACCACTTAAAGTGATGAATCTTGACTTTAAATTGTTTTGGTCGTATTCACACACACACACACACACACACCTACAAGTTCATTTTCACTCATTATAGATCCTCTTAAAGAACATTTATCTTTAAAGGTGCCATATGGAATAATTGAGGTAAAAATATCCAAAAAATGAGCTACACGCATCAAAAGAATGAGAAGAAATAAGTGCAATGATGTCATTAAAAAACTGACAAGTTATAGTGCTGCCGAGATATAACCTAAATTAGCATGCTAAATTACTAGCCCCGGCCCGGTAGGTGTCGTAATACCACTTTCGGCCATAGGAGGCGGTATGCGGGCGGGCAACATTACATAGCTGCCAACTCTCACGCATTGGCCGTGAGACACCCGCATTTGATTGGTTTCACACGCCACACCCCCGATTTCTCACGCTGAAGTGTCAACCCTCCCGTTTTTCCGGGTTTCTCACGTATTTTAGCTCTTTTACTGTCTTCCCATGTTAGTATTTCCCATAAAATATCTCGTATTTTTACACTCTGATTGTGTGAGACGTACAAGCTCAGACAGATTCGGCTTGAAGTCGATCGTCCTCGGATGCGGTTCCTTGTGCGCTGTAACAAAATAGCTTTGCACACAGCTCGAAGTGAGGTCTTGCCGGTCTTGCGCACCCAACGCGTCATTTTTAACGCGCTTGTGCAGACGCGTCGAGTATAAACAAGGCTTTACTGCATGTCAGCGCGCGCAGAGACCTCAAGGTGCAGAGACCTCTCCCAATCATCTCCAGCAGAAACAGCCTCCCCGTTTCCCTCGTAAGCTGATCTTAGTATTTAAACATTCTCTATGGTATTTTTTTTTTAATGACACAGTGCTCTTTCTCACACATATGTAGGCTAGTTCTAAACTCTTTAGACTTTTTGATTAGTGAATCGTGAGAAAAAATGGTTCCTGGAAAATGGATGGTTCCTGGGAAATCTCCCTTTGATGTTGACAGCTATGGGTCAGTCAAATGCCTGAAAGATGAGTTTATCTATTGATCTATCTGTTGGGCAACTCGTGATCCACTAGTTATACCGCAAATTAGTTACAAATCTCCCGTGATATATAGCGAACGATTCCACCCCAGTGTTCGTTCTTTTACCATTAGCTAGTAGAGATGATCGGTTCACGTGCGCTAAGGATCTGTCGTGTAACATTTACAAGTGCCAAAACTGCATTTATTGTTTGAATTGCGTAATAAAATGAACAGAATCTGAGGGCTGAGATCGGTCTCTGTGTCCTTTTCTGTGCATGACAAAATGGATGTGGCGTGAGAGTGTGTGAAAAGTTGTGTGTCTCACAGTGAATTCGTGAGAGTTGGCAGAGCTGAAAGGCGCTAGCTTGGTCCACATCAGGGAATGCTGTCTGTCAAATTAATTCAAACTAATGATAAAAATGTAAGATGAACAAAACGAATACCATAAACTAAAAATACCTGGGCTTTAATTTTCCTATATCGTCAAAATGCACCGGCTTGTCTATGAGACGGCCTTTAATTTAGTATTGAGATGTTGTTCATTTAGTCTCTAATCTCTGAAAATCTCCAAATGATCCACGTGAAACTGCGGTCTTCCAACCTTTTACTATTAGTTTTACTAATTAATATGCGCGAGGAAGACAGAGCAACACAGCGCTCACCCGTGTTGTTTGAAAATATGAGAGTGCGCGGCCGTGGAGGTATTTTTCTGGAGGTATACTGCCCCCATCTGGTATGGAATATGGTGTATGATTTGATTTTTTATCCCTGAGGGCACCTTTAAAGGGTAACTAAACCCCTAGTCAGAGCCACTCCACCCACTGGCAATATTTGAAAAATGCTGAAAAAGTGGGCAGACCCCAGCGGAGATAGAGGGGAAGAAATAGATGCTAAAACACGCTATCCTGATCGTTTTCAATTCTCGCAATTCCAACTCCTGACTCGCTACAGTGGTTTTGATGAAACAAGCTGGTTTTTATACTGCCAAGGGCGTGGTGAGCCGAAACCTGCGTACGTCACAACGAACCGCTAACATCCAATAGGAAAATTCAACTGCAGTTGCCACCGTTCAACCTGAAGAGGGCAGCACTAAGATGTTTTTACACCAGATTTTGTAGCAATAAAACACTTTATACACAAATGTCAAAAAAGTTACTCAAATCAATGACTGGTATTAATAAAGATCCATTCTTACAGATCATTAACTAAAAAAAAAGTTGGTTTAGGATTTAGTTGCTCTTTAAAGAAATATACGCTATTTATAGGCTTTTTACCTTGGCGTCCCAATTCGCCTACTATGCCCAACATATCTTCTTGTGAAGAAAAAGTACATACTTTCAAGACGAAGCAAGCTTTAGTAACATCTAACATGCATCTTGTAACTGTTTTAAATGGCCTGTCAATCATCTTGTCACAGTTAACCTAATCCACATTTAATTTAATTTAATTACCTGTACTAGAGAGAATAGTGCATATTGATCTGCCAGTAGTATGTCTTTTGTTTGGATAAATCTCCTCAAGTGATTGCATGTTGATGCATTTAAAAGTCAGTGATCTTTATAAAAGTTACCAATGTTATCAATGATAAAATATAACACGGATAACTACTCGGTTACTATCGTAACCTCAGTTCCCTGAGAGAGGGAATGAGTATTGCGTAGCTATACGCAGTGGGGGAAACTGCTTTTTCTTGATTCACTGAAGCTTACATGTAAAACGCATTTTTAGCTGCACAGTTAGCACATTGAGCGTCTGGCTCACTCATAAGCCATGTTTCCATCCACTTGTCAATCGAATTATCTGAAATTCAGTTAAACTCATGCGGATAAAGCTGGTGAAGTTCCATCCAACGGCTTTAAAGCGAATAAAAACCTGTACGTAATGACGTCACATGCTGTTTTGCGATCAAATTGGTATATCGAATTGATTTGAGACATTTTAAGGTGTTTCCATTTATTTTCGCACTAAATCGAACAACATTCAAGCAAACTTTTGCGAACAAAGTTTTGTTAGACAAAACGGATCGCGCCATCTACCAAAAATGATCAATATTTCACAAGTTGAAGGCTAATAATGTGCCAGCTGATTGCGACATATGAATGGGATAATGTATGCGAGGCGGTTGTTGGTTGTATTCGCCTCGCTATATATTATCCTGCTTATTAACCTACATATAAATCAACCAAATAAATAAATAAATCAATAATTTGACACAAAATATTGACTTAAAAACGAGTTTATTGATTTAAAAACGAGTATTGCTTCTGCTAAAGAAAATAGTCTGTTCCGTCTCTGAACTGCGTCCATGGCAACGGTGTGTTATAGCAACGCCACAGTCTGTTAACCAGAAATAACAGACCACATTCTACATTACAATTCAACCAAGCCACGTAAAAACAAGCAAAACTAACCTAAGAAAACAGCGACGCTATAAACATTGCTATGATGATGACGATGCACGTATGCCCGACGACAGCGGAGGTGACTGTGGTTTGGGAACGACAGCGCTCCATCAGTTCTGGGAGATCGTGGTTCACGGAAACCCTTTGGTTGAAGCATCTTTTTGCTTTGTCCACTTACATCTGTCTTTGTTGACATCCGCCATGTGTGCGCAAACAGACTGGCCGGAAATGAACTCGTCTTCTGACGTGTTGCAACCATAAAAGGGCATAAAACGTAATCGCAATTCATTATTTATTCGGCAAATAACGTTTCCATCAGCTTTTATCGCATTAGCCGTATATCGATCAAGAGAAAATCCGATGAGACCGAACGTATTTCATTTGAGTCGATTTTCATGAAATTTCATCGAATTTTACTGTTTCCATAAGGCATTTTTCATTCGATATCACTTAATTCGGATAAAAACGTGTCGATGGAAACATGGCTATAGACTGTGCTGCGGCAACTGCACATCCAATGGCGCGGGAGCCTCAGACGTGCGACCAATGAGCTAGTCCTATGTCATTACAGAGCCTGCCAAAGGGGTGTGTCCTTAGCCTATAATAGTCCCCCAAATTCGCCAATATAGCAGGTTTAATGACTGAAGCGACAACTCGCCAGCTTACTACAGTATTTGTTTGTAGACAAGACCAGACACCATCGGGCCTTAATCATAGCGAAAGCACCTTCCCCTGCAGGGAAGGCACCTCCATATTATAAATTTCCATTAATATGGAAGGTGAGGACCAGCCGGCCGAATCACAAATCTCTTGAATGGGAAAGCCAGATGACCATGACGAAGCCATGCTTCTAGTCGAATGGGCCTTGATACCTATGGGGCAAACCTGACCCACTGAAGCATAAGCCATAGAAATGGCATCCACTATCCTTCTAGACCTGATCTCTTTGCTTAGTGACTAGATCACCCTTATATCGGCCACCAAAGCAGACAAACAGCTGTTCTGACTGTCTTAAAGACGCAGAACGCTCCAGATAGATTCTCAGTGCTCTGACAGGGCAGAGAAGACTAATCTACCCATCCTCGGCAGAAGGGGGAAGGGCTTAATAACCGGTGCTCTGAACAGTGTTGAGAACACTTTGGGTACATAACCATGCCTGGGTTTGAGGATGACTCAGGAGTCATCTGGTTGAAACTCCAAACATGAAGGGCTCACTGAGAGAGCCTGCAGATTTTCCACTCGCTTGATAGCCAGTGCCAACAGGAGAGCAGTCTTTAGCGAGATTCCTACGCCATTGTTCTGCTCTCCAGAGAAAATACAGAGCGGTGACTCTTTCGATGAATGCTCGATCAACATAAAAAAGATGGCCGCCAACGGGTTTTGGTCATCAGGCAAGTAATGCCAAACTTTTATCAGCGCATTCAATCCCACGTGCATTCCACTGAAATTAAAAAAAAGAAAAATAAAGAAAAAATAAAGAAAGCTTTTGGAAGTTGGTGGCCAGTCTGTTTGTAAAGGAAACTTAAAACTTGAAACTCATGAAACTCTAGATGGCGCAGGATGATTGGTCCTTAACTCAATTTGGAAGCGATCACATTTTGGTAGTGTGTTTGGTAATATCTGGAATGCTATCCACCTGTGTTATTCTTAAATATCTCAATGTTCTCCTTACAAACTTTGTTAGTAAAACATCATTAAATGTGATGCATATAAAATCCTAGACGCACAAATAAAAAGATCATGTGACTAGGCGATGGGATGACATAACTACTAACCTGCAGACAGATCTTTTTGCAAAGCATCTGAAATGCTGTTTTAGTTGTTTTGAAATACCTGAGCAAAGTCTGTTGCCAGAGCGGTTCAGTTCAGGACACTCTTTTAACACATTTATTGTGTTTCGTCTGTGCACACTGGGATGCAAGTGCTTCTAATTTTCTTATAGTGAGATTTAGTGCCAGTTTATCAGGAAGTGACAATTTTATTCTCTTTGACTCACTGGATGGAAATGGTGCTTTATTTGCAAATGTTTTATGTGATATTCCAATTTTTATTAATTTTTGCGGGATCAGTATCAGTACTGACCTCATCGTTGAGTGTGCAATGACACACACACGCACACACACATACACATTGGCTGGCTGACGTTGTAATAAACACTTTATTCTGATTAATTCTTATTTCTCTCGTGTTTTCCAGTTCCTCTGCCTGTTTCTGTCATCAGAAGCAACTCATCCTCATCATCTTCATCTTCATCAACAGGATTGACAAAATGTGAAAATCTTAACATCACTGAAGTCTGTAAGGCACATGCAGGTACAGTTTTTTTTTTTTTTTTTTTTTTTTTTTTTTTATTTGACTGGACCAGCCTTATCAAACTTTTAAGATGCCAGAATGTTTAAACCCTGAAATGTTTTCATTCAAAGTGAGAGCTGTTGTGTTCCTGACTAAAATCAGTCTATCTTTGCTCATTTGATTTTTCAGAAGTCCACATCTGTGGCTGTGATTCTGTTGAAGCTGTGCTGCGATTGGTCGTCACTGCGCTGATGGGCGTGGCTTCTGTGGCTGCTGTTGTTCTTCTGGTCAATGACGTCAGATTGACAAGAGGTTAAAAGAAGAAAACAGAACAAATATCAAATATTGGTATATATCTTGAAGTTTTAATCTGTGTGGTGTAATTTTTAAGAACTGGATTGTAAAAAATCCCCCCCCCCCCCCCCCAATCTTTTCAACATGTTTTTAGCCTACTTTGGGGCCATCTGGTGGCCAAAATTATAAATATTTTTAATATTTCATTTTATTCTGTTGTAGATCCATTTTAGATTTCTCAATCAAATTACCTGTTTTATTAGTTTGTTCTCAATTTTTGAAACATCAGTGTCTTGAATTTAATGCGAATATTGACAACCAGTGCAATTTTTTTGAAGAAAGATCACAATGGATATTTAAAAATTAATTATGTTTTATTAACAAAATTTCTGAAGGAGCATGTTCAAATGATCTACCCAATCAGTACGATCATATATATGTGTATATATAAATAGCTGACTCCTCCATTTCTCAACAGTCTTTTCTGCATCCCTCTGCCACCCTGACTCCTCATTCACTGTTTTCCAGATGTTTTCTGGTTTAATTTCAAAATCACAGTCATACTCCAACTTACTACTGACTGTGAAAAACATGAACTATTGTAATAAGTAGTTGAGCCTTCTATATTTGTTATATTTTCTGAAGTCGCCTACGTGCATTAGATATCATCATCAACTTTTAACTATAAATGTTCATCTGTCTATATAATAAAGTGCACAACCAAACAATAAAAAAAAAGGTTGTAATTAAGACTGTAACATTGATTTACCTGTCGAGAAGAAAGCAGCGTCTTTTTTGAACTCTTTCTCCTGCATTAGCTCTATCCACCTGGAAAAAGCTATCCCGACATTAACTTAAGTGTTTTTTGTAATCTTCGGTCACGTTTCCTTTTACGATCTATTTTTGGACTTTTCTGGTGACGAGGATTTGCATTGCTTTTAAACTTGCCTGGGCAGTGAAGCTAGCCTGACTACGTCAGACTTCCTACTTCCTCTAATTTCATTTCGCTCCTGTCTACGAAGCAAAGTGAAGTATCAGAGTCTGGTATTACCAGGCTAAGTGATGTTTTTATGTGAAGTAAAACTGGCACTTTCCTTTCTCCAAGAGCTGACGATACTTGAACATGGCGCAACATCTGCCCTTTCAAATTCAATTGTTTCCAATTCAGATGGCGGTCTAACGGTCTTACCAAAATAGCTAGTGTATGTGCGAATTGTGAAATATAGTGGCGGTTGGATTGGCAGTGCATTTCGGGGTGGCGGCTGCATTGACGTATGAACCGACAAACAGAAAGAAATTTACTTTTGGGCCCAACGACTCCTGAGTCATCCTCAAACCGAGACATGGTTATATACCCAAGGTGCTCCCGACTCCATTCAGAGTCGACTCCGTACGCTTCAATGGGCCTTCAATGCCCCATATGCGTCAGGGGGCATGGTTATGGTCCAGTGGTGTACCAATTGATGACATTTGTGCAGTTCGGCCAGCATCAAAATAGCAAGTGTATGTGTGAATTGCGAAATATAGTGGCGGCTAGATAGAGTGCCGAAGTTACGACGTCATTCTGTAGGCCAAAACGCGGAAGTGAGTTAGCATTTTAGCATTACAGTTCCCTCGCTCTAAAGCCTATGGGATTTTTGAATGGGTTTTTGCTAAATCGCCTGAAATAAGGTCTGTGGTGAACAAAGCCTCTAAATATTTTCACGTTTTGATCTATGACATACACAGTTATAACCTGCTTGTGTTTTTCTTAAACTTTATTGTGTCTGATTGTGTTTTTTAAAATCTTTATATAGGCTTCAAAATGTACAAATTTTCGATTAACTTGTAAAGATTATCTTGCGCTAGACAAAACGTGTAAGGGTCACAACCCTTTGTTAAACACAGATCTTATTTTTTGCGATTTTTCAAAAGTCTATGGGGAAAATGCATTGCTTTTCGACCGAGGGAACCCATGCGCCGCTAGGCAACGGCAACACAACCGTTATCAGAAATCTCCACTTTGGCCGGAGGTTTTAGAAATAATCGTTTTTGTGTAAATGAGAGGCAAATACTGCATGGAAATATCATCTGTGTCTAAATCTACTTCTTCGTGTAAACGGGGCATAATACTTTCCACACATTCATATATTCATTTTCAACAGAATCTTTTGAAATAAGCATTTCTAAGTACTCAACTTCACATTTTGTTACAAGCCTAAGTGACATTGATGAATTGGCATTAATTCACACTTGTTAAAATTAATTTTGAAACGGGAGGCTTTAGAGAAGGTGAATTATTTGTAATATTTTGGGGACCAGAAATTATTTCTGGCTGGCCAAGTACCTTTAATGGAGCTTTGAGATTTTTAATATGGTTGAAAATGGGGAATTTCATCGGATGAGGAATATGAATTGCTGTAGAAAGAGTCAACTTCCTTACTGACTTAAGCTTGATCTGTAATTCCCTGGCCCTGGAGCGATAAGGCTTTAATTGAACGTTTCTCTTGCCTTCTTTTTTTCTAAACGACAGAAGTTTCCCTACTTCTTTCCCCATCCTCAGTCCATTGTGCTCTGGACCTGATAAAAGACCCTTTCGCTTTACAAAGATAGATTTCATCAAGCTTTTTTAGAAGATTTAGTAATTTCTGTTTATCATTATCAACATTTCAACAGTAAATACAAAATTGTGTTTAATCTTTAAAAAGTCCCCAAACATTGACAGGAAAGAAAAAAATAAAACATGTCACGTCTAGTGTTGTGAATTCTTTACTATCTGGGTTTAAGTATTATCTACTGCTGTAGTTTATATTTACAGAGTGTATTATGTAGAATACTTAGTATGTGGGATGTGGGTAGTAGTAGTACGCAATTTGGTTGGACGCTGTTTGAGCGGAAGTGACAGGGTTAATTTGTGCATACAGCGGTCAGAGTATGACGTATTTTTCCAGTCGTGCAGTATTTCTGAGTACAGGGAAAGTTCTTGACGAAGTAAGTTCATTTCCTGACTATATTTATAATATTGAATGTTTATTCTGTCGGGATTATCTTAAACATTAAGTCTGTAAGCCGTGGGTGTTTCGCGATCTTTCTGTACATTAGTTTGTTGCGTGAGACGCGTGTGACGCACGTGGAAGTGCCGATAGCTTTATGGCTAATGTGGATATTTTTGGATGTATCTCGTTTAGTTATGTTTATGCATCTATATAAGATATTATACTCATACTTTAATACTATGAGGATGCTGTATAATATACCTTAAAGTCCCCGTGAACCGGAAGTTGCAAACGATTTTTCTCCAGTGCTGTGACGTATTTCCATGTTAAACGGATTATTGAACAGAGGGCAGTGTTTTACTTTAGCGCTCTTCCTCTCCATCTCTCGCTCATAGCAAACTAACGGTTTGAGGGGGTAAGCGTTTCCCCACCCAAGTTGTGAAACCTACGTCATCAGAAAAAGAAACCGCTCCAGACCGGAAGTAACTTTTCAGATTTTGATTAAAGATTACTAAGGTAAAACATTTTTTTAATATATATTCACTTGCACGGATTAATTGTTCACCACAAGACTAGTAATATGCGCTAACAAAGTAAATAGGTTCAATTTTGATTTCATGGGGACTTTAAGTTTTATATGCTCTGTTATCTTCTGTTTGCTTATTTCTGTTATGCTAAACTCACTGAGAGAGAACTGTTAAAAGTGTTTAATTGTTAATGTGCCATTTATCACAACTCTATGCGAGTATGTATGATTAACATTTAGTTATTTATGTTTGTTTATTTGTTTATTGCAGAAACTACCTCAAAAGCATAGCTCATATGTTTTAATGGTGAAAACCTGCACAGAAATAAAAGGTGGAAAATATCTGATGACTCCTACTCCTTGATCAGAGTACTGAAGCGGTTAAGCACAATAAAGAATCGGCATTCAGTGGGGCAATACCCAACATCTAGAATAGATATGCTTATAGAAATGACTTTGGTTTCTTGTAAACTGGAGTTAAAATAACCACTGAAACTAGCACTACATGTCTGCCATGAGGTCATGGAGGGAAGGTGATGCTTACGTATTGATAAAGGTGATGCTTACGTATTGATAAAAGTGGCAATTACACGTGATATTTTCACATTTTCATATTCACACATATCTGTCAAAGAGAATCTTTAATCTCTCAGACGTTTTTTGATGGGTTTAGTATTTTGTAGTGAAGCTGTTTTATGTTGTCTGAGCTTCATATGAACAGGAATGAAAAGGCCCTTCAACAACACGCTGTTCACACCTCCGACGCAAACGTCATGAACACACTGTTTATCCACACAACAAGTCGAACCACATTTTGTGTACAGCTCGGCAATAAACCCCAGCACAGGTTTCAATGTGACTCAAACTGAGATGTTAGTGGGCCAGACCCTCAAACTCACAGGCGTAAAGGTTATCTGACTGCGACTAAACCATGAGTTTCCTCATTGTTTTAGCCAAATCTACATTGGGTGTTTGACTTCAGCTGGATTGAACCGGTGAGATTTCCTGCTTTCAGTTGTGGAGAAACTGAAGACATAGACTTGAAGTCGAACACCTTCTGCTTCCTGTAGAGATGTTTTGCGTAGGCGAGTTTGCGAGTTGATAAGATTCAAAAGGCCATAACGATTTTCATGACACTTTCATTCAGTACTTTGTTTATTGGTTAAAACAGCGCTTGTGCGTGCAAGAATACAGTTCAACATGAGACTATGAATACCAAAAGTGGTGCTACATATTTTATGAGTTTTATTTTGATAAACATGACTCAATGTTACATTAAGATAAGGCTACATGAAATAAGTTTTTACTGTTATTCAATATTGTCTGCGTCTGTAATCGCATATTTCCCAATTCTATAGGCAAAAAAATTTTGTCAGTATGTGTGTCGGAAGAGATACTTCTTCCGGTGAGATTCTGAAGTGTGCATTTGATGGACACTTTAATTTCCCATGAGGCCACGGGAGAGGATTTGTGAATGGAGGTGAAGCGATGCAACTGGTTGATCACATGATAATGACAACATGGTGGATGTACGACCGGATTAGATTCATACTATAGGCTGTATTATGAATTTCAGTGGTTACAAAGTACCTACTCAAGAGAGTATGGGATTTCGGACTCAGCCAATGTGTCAGAATAAACACCAAACACACGTGATCATTGTCTTTGTGAATTCGACCAATCATGAAACAACTTTTTGGCACATTTCATGTGCACTTGCAGTCTACACAAGATCGTAATCACGAATCGCTCTTACATCTCAAATCTCAACATTCGAACAGCATAAGTCAGACCAACCCGATCTCACGAGCAAGTCGTACGAATTCGACGAATGATTAAAAAGTGGCTAATTCGTAACAATTCATACGACCTCACTCGTTTGAATTAATACGATTTTGCTAAATCGTAAATATTTTACGAATTGGCCAATTCGTATGAATTCATACGAATGACCTACCCCTTTCCCCCCCCTAAACTTAACCATCACGTGGGTTTAGACAAATCGTACGAATTAGTACGAGTGAGGTCGTACGAATTAGACACTTTTTAATCATGCGTCGAATTCGTACGAATTGGTCGTGAGATAGTGTTGGTCAGACTGGGATCGAAGCCCAACACATCTATTGAGTCTTCATGGGGCCGTTCACAAAGAATACGTTTTTCTACTCTATTGAGCTACTTTTCCATGTTTTGTTTATGTGAATGCACTGTAGACGGATGCGTTTGACCATTGCGCTTTTATCTCTGCAGGGTCTCACGCGTGAATCCGGGATGTAAAAACGTGCCGCTCAAGATAAAATAAGTTTAACATTAAAAAAACGCATTTCTAGAACTTGCGACTATAAGAGTTAAACATGAAAAGGTTCTAAATGATTATTTTACCATTTTTTACATTATTTACGTATTATGATATCCATTTTACAGAAATAGTGTTTAAAGAAAAACATTTTAGTGGAAGAATACTGGTAATTCTTGTCTCGCACTATGGCAGTCCGTCACAGTGTAGAAGTTATAAAGTTAACATTTTCAATGCACCCCAAGCTCAAATGGATCCAAAAATTTCTGTTTCTAAGTAAGTATGCGGGTTTAGTCACTGCATGTCTCTGTCGGTGTGACGGGGGTTTACATGTACTGACTGTCAACGATCCCAAAACTCATCTACAAGCTTTAAGGAACTTGTCAGCAGGAGTTGTAAAGGTTATTGCAGGAGGTTCTCATGGCGACTGGTGCATACTCTACTTGATCTTCCTCTTTAAAATTCTGTAAATAAAAAAAAAATATAATAATAATAATACAAAAAAACCCATATACATATATATCTATTGTGTTTTCTTTTCTATCATGAAGGCCTGTTCACACCGGGACAAATTTCCCATGCGATATTCGGCGACGTTTAACGCCTTGTGACTAATGGTGCGTTCTATTATAGCCATTATTAAAGCGTTCTATTTGTTTAACGCATCCGAGTCGGAGAAAAAAAAGGACGCCACCTGGAAAGCTGTTATAATGGTAGCGCTGGCCGAGTAGCAGGCACTTACATTAAAACGAAAAAATATTATGACTACACCTTATTAAAACGCAGCCATTTGAACTTGAAAATGTTCACTTTATTAATGTTTTTCATGTTAATCTTCTGTTAGCAACGCTAGCAACGTCAGTAATTGCACTCACAACAACCGATTCCCATACCTACAGGGGACGCAGTAATACGAGTGATAACCGTCATTTAAAATACCAAAGCGGTTCAAAAACAATGAAAACAATTCATTCTTACAAGTCACACAGGGCGCAGCCATCTTGAACTCCGAAACGGAATTCTCTCTCGGTGTCCTCACGGTTGTCCGACGTCCGAGAGGAGAAATCCGAGGAAAGGGGGCGTGTTGCTAGGCAACGTCTGTCGTCCGATTCGGATCTCCGAGACGGATGAATAATAGAACGCACCATAATCAAAGGGTGCCAATGTGAGTGTGTACACCGACGCGAAAAACGCCACACGTAAAAGCGGCATTTTCAAAAAAACGCCTCGGGTTAGTTTTTTTAAGTTTGACGCACCGCGTCAAAAACTATCCGGCCAATGAGATTGGCGCTTTTGCTCATGTGTCTGGAGCTTCTGAAGTTACAGTAAAACACAACTTTGGGGCGCTCAAACACAAAACGTTATAGGTACAAAACACACACGTAACGGCGAAGGAGATGTACGCCAAGTAGCGTCGCCGTCTACACTGACGGGAGGAAATAAGACGAGGAAGATGCAAGGCAAGATGAATGTAGAGCTGCTGGTCTCGTTGGTGTCGGAACATAAATAACTAACGTTATATGACAAACGCGACAGCGACTACAAAAATCTTGATAAAAGAGAACTGTACCCAGACAGCAAACTGACATTGAATCAACGTGGAAACGACGTCTCTCATGACATTGAAACAACGTTGATTTTGCTCATCGAATTAACGTTGAACCAACGTCAGACGCGGCATTCTTCAAAGCTAAATGAAAATCGAAAATTGGTTTGCTTTCATAACGTTGAAACAACGCGTTGATTTCAAGTTGATTTTTCGTTAGTTTTGAAAGAATGACGCGTCTGACGTTGGTTCAATGTTAATTCGATGAGCAAAACAATGTCAGATCAACGTTGTTTCGATGTCATATTTCCACGTTGATTCAATGTCAGTTTGCTATCTGGGTATGGAGTGGTATTGCGGCGCTGGACGCCATCTAATGTCAGGGATTGAATTTGCGTGTTCACTCGACTCATTGTCAGCGAAAATCGCTTGGGTGTGAAGTTCTGTGAACATAAAAAAACGCTTTGAAAAACGCGTGCGGATATTCGTCCCGGTGTGTACGGCCCTTTACTGTACACGCTTACATTTGACTGCCTGCTAAATTTATACAGAGATGTACAACATAACTTATGAATAACTTATCTTACCGTTTTATGTGCGTGTCTTTTGATGAACGTTGGCTCAGCGTAAGTGATCTCTTTTTCAAGAGTCTGATCTGTTTCAACAATAATAAAAGATGCATAAACAACTAGATATGTTTTTTCACAACATGCTGTATGTGTTATTATCATGGCTGTCAAAGTTACAGCATTAAAAGGGCTATATGTAAGAATTTTACATTTTTACAAACTTCCTGTTTGTTTATAAAAGCCTGTATGTGAAGAACTTGAAACCTTTTTGGCAGGAAAATGAAACGGATGTGATGGTTAGATGCGCTATCTATAGTCACTGCTGTTCAATGTCTAATTTCTTTTCGTCTGAGGCTGTTTTGTCTGATGCCCAATTGTACGAGGCCTGACACCTGACATTGTTTTTCCTGAGACCTGAAGCTGTTTAGCTTTTCAGTCTAAGATATTGTTTTGTCCAACGACTGAAGCCTTTTAGTCTTGTCTTCATATGTCTGAGGTCAGAGGATGTCCTAAAATGTACGCTGTAGCACTGCCCAGTGTTATGTTATGGATTAATGCCAAACACTTGCCTTCTTCAGAAGTTTTTCTACATTTCCTGCGAACAGAAAATACCACGACTGCAGACACAATCATCAGAGATCCAGCCGAGATCAACACTATTAGAGACACTGGAGAGAGTGAAGAAGAGTGTGTGTCCGGTGCTGTAATGATACAGAAAGAAGTGAGCGCATCAGTGTGATCTACACCAGAAGACAGATATCAGGTCAGTAAACACACACACACACACACACACACACACATATCTGATACCTGCACATGTGTGTCTGCAGAGTGTGTTGATGTCCAGATTTGTGGTCTGGTTGCTGATGGGATTGTTCAGCACACAGCTGTAGGTGTTTTTATCCTGATATTCCACCTCCAGAGGTAGAGAGAGACTGATGCTGAGATCACACACACTGATGCTGGACAATACACTCATTCCTGCGTACCAGGACAGAGTCGCATCACACACACTCAACACTGATGATGAACACACCACTGAACAATTTGAAGAACATCGTGAAGAGTTACTGATGATGACAGGAACAGGCAGACGAGCTGAAAAAGATTAGAAAGAGAGAGAGAGTTGATGTCATTCACAAACAATACACTGCTCAAAACGAAAAGTATTCAACAGGCTGAAAAGGAAAGTAAAAAAAATAACAAAAATGTGTTAAAATGATTTAGCTCACCATAGACAGTGAGATTGAAACTCTTTCTCACACTGTTGGTCTGTAGTCGATAAACTCCAGCATGTTCAGTTGTGGTGTTTGTGATGGTCAGAGATCCAGTTTGATCGTCCAGCTTCAGTCTGTCTCTGAATCTCCCATCAGGAACATCATCATATACAGTCATGCTGTCCTCCAGTACATTGATTTGAGCAATTAAAGTGTTATTATCTCCAAATCTCCACAGAATCACATCATCGTCCATCATTTCAGTGAGACTAGAGTTTAGAGAGACTGAATCTCCCTCCGTCACTGACACTGACTTCAGTTCATCTGGACCAGCAAACACTCCTGAAGAACAGATTAGGGTCCCAAATAACTTTATGTTGATTTAATTAGATTTAGGATCAGTACTATGTAAAAGTAAAAGTAAAATGATGAAGACACCAGACAGCACTACAGACCGAATCTGAATCTGTCCCCGCAATATATTCTGATGATAGTCCTTCATCCAAACCATTAATTTAATTCAGTTCAATTTCAAAATATTTGAAAATAATAGCAAATGCATCTCCCTGTTATTACATAAAAACTAAAGCATGAACTAAATCAGTATACAAACAAAACACATTTATTACTTACCAGCCAGTTCGCACAACCACAAGCAAAACAAAAAGACAACATGAAACATTTCTTTGAGCACTATGAGATGTGAACGCTGGAAGTGTCTGAAAACAGACTGCCCCGACAAAGCAGAAGTGAGATATTAATCTAGTGTGTGTGTGTGTGTGTGTGTGTGTGTCAATCCTCAAATCCTCCCCCAACATAAACTGACCATCCTTGTGGCTGTTAAAGACCACATTTATTTCACAATATTCACGATACTCTTCTTACAGGTTTAAAATGGTCTTCAGCATATATACAAGTAATTTGATCTGTACTGATTTTTTTTATAATTATTATTATTCATTGCAATGTGCCGTGTTTATGGTTAAAAAGAAGCAGAAGTTTTAAGTCTTCCAAACTTTTAAGTTCATAGATGGGGGAATGCATGAATCATGCCTTCGACTTATTTAAATGATGGATTCATCTTTCAATTGAAATTGTGCTTTGAGTGGAGTGAGTCAAGTAACGAGGTTAGTACATGTTAGTTCAATTATGTAAATACGACTACAGCACTTTCAATTTGAACAATCTATAGGCTGTGTCACAGTCACACGCTTTCTGTGATTCACTTTGTGTGGGTCTGTTAAAATAGAATGTAGCTTTTATTCAAAGAGACTTAGTAATTCAATCACAAGATGTTGTTATGGCTATATGCACTATGGGTTCGACGATTTTCCGTTTTTGTAGCCTATACTCGAGCGGATGTATTTTGCTTTCGCTTGGAGACTTAACTATAATGCAGCAGGCTATTTCATTTGGTCAAAGAAATATTGATCATTGTGATTTTATGTGGATAAATCGGTCGTGTATTTAATAGCCGACATTTATAACACTGATTATCACATTCTGAGGACGTTTTTCGTGAGGAAGAAAGTATCTATAGCAACAGAGAAAAAGATGGGACGCTGGTTTGTGCTGATCACTCTCTGCGTTTTGCTCGTTGATGGTAAGACATTAGACTATTGATTATGTAGTTTAATGCTTTCCCTTTTCGTCGATGATATTTATTTAAAAAAGTAAAATCTAAAACCGTGGGGCTATCTTGTATTGTACCTATATTTATGTGTTGGGCGATAGGCTTATTTTTCTCGTTCTTCCTGTTCCGGAAACGGCGAAATCACACACACACAAACACAAAAATGTTAGAATATAATGGTTTTATTCGTATAAGGCTACATCAAATCATTGGTTAAAATGAAACGTCTAGAGAAATTGTAGGCTATCTGTATGAATGAAGCATATTGTGCATAGAAAGTTGAAGACTGAGGCTGTTTATTTCTCTGCCTTCTGAAAGTAGCCTAGCTAGCGTGGGAGGTTGCAAATACGCCGCAGAACTGCAATGAGAGATTTATAAGAATATTTACAAGTAGCTATTTTTTAATTATTATTATTTTATAAATAATTAGAAAAGCATTGGAATAATGAACTCTGTATATTTATCTAACCTAGGGTATTCGATTGCATTTACATTGCTAAATCCACGTTTACTGACACTGATTTATTCGTATTTATTCGGTTTGCATGTTAATCTTTTGGCCGGACCAAATGACAGCACTTCCTTGTGTGTTGGTGCACAGATACGGTCTGGGTGAGCAGGGAGGCCAAGCGAGTATTGGCTGATATTTTATATTTACACACTCCGGATCCGCGGTGTATGATACACGCAGACACAACAAGAAGCCGCCTCATTGTTTATTTGTGTCCTCAGGTGTGTTTTGTGATGAAATGATGACAGTGTCAGTGATGGATGGAGATTCTGTTACTCTACACACTGGCGTTACCAAAAAACAACATGATAAGATGCTGTGGTAGCTATTTCAACGACACTCGCATAGCTCTGATCAACGGACATCCCGACACGAGCTGCTTATATGATGGAGAAGACGGGAGATTCAGAGGCAGAGTTGAGGTGGACTATAAGACCGGATCTCTGACCATCACCAACATCAGATCTGAACACACTGGACGTTATGAAGCAGAACTGATAAGGAGTGAAAGTTTAGGCAAAAGGCAAAGTTTAAACAGAAACCGCAAGTGTGACAGCACAAAAATCACCAAAAAGTTTAGCAGCTCTCATGATGACACTATAAAAACATTCAGCGTGATCATCAGTGGTGAGTTACTCAATGTTATTTTCCCTTACATGTTTTTTAAGGAAAAAAATCTTAGAAAATGAAAGATAATTTAAAAACACTTTAAACGTCAATGGGATGCTGTCTACAGTTCTGTTTAGTTAGTTTCATTTTCATGGTCTTTTAGTTTCGTTTTCACAATGTCTTCATATCTTCATACACAGCAAAATCCCCAATGTTAAATCAACACTGAGAGTGTTAAATTAATAATGAGTAGTGTGAATTATATAAACTCAGAGCAGATGAACACTGAAGCAGTGTTAAAGTTAATGAGTGCCCAAACTTTTTCCTATTAAGGGCCAAAAATCAAACTTGATTGTGGGCCGTGACCCAAAAGTAAATTTTGCATCATAAATCAAACGGTATTACATTAAAGTTGCTATGGGTTTATTTATTTTAGAATATTTAAAATAAATATAAAACAACATCAATCTGATTAACTAATGCAGTTTTATTTGTAAAGTTTTGCATTTTAAAGAAATCCCCTCTCCCCGGACGGTATGGGGGCCAAACCAAAGGATACCACGGGCCAACTTTGGCCCTAGTTTGGGCATCTCTGCATCAGAGGAATGATATGCAAAATTGTCTGTTAGGGTGTTTTTTACATAGAGAAGTTGAAACAGTTATTTCTATTTCTGAATATTTAATATTACACGTCTATTCAAATTGTCTTCCATGATGTTTTATACATTTTCGTGTCCAATAGTCCATGAAATTGAATCCAACTAAACAGAACTGTGACGACTGTAAATGTAGTTCGCCAACAGAAAAACTGCAAAATAAAAAATGTAATTTGAAATATTTTACAAATAATTAAATTCATAACATTACTGAAATCCTGTGATCTATACAAACAATCCTACTTTCATATGTCTTAAGAATAGATCAAAGCATTAATATTGTTCTTTCGTATTGCTGTATTTGTTATTGGTTTGTGTTTTCCAGCTTCTTTGTCGGATCAAGACGAAACTGATGAAGAACCCCATTTGGAGAAGCGGGAGTTGAACCTGAGTACGTTTTCTCCCTTCCTTTTTTTAATCTATGAATACATTGAATATCATTTAGTACAGTTTATTTATGCACTGTTCCTAAGGGAGCGTGCTTTTATACCGTAGTGAACACATTTCAAATGTTGTTTGTCAAATTTTATCTTAAAAACCTACTTATATAATCAAGATGTCAGAAATAATTAATAACGCTGATGGATACTGGAAATGCAAACAGAAACATGGCGGCTGAGCAAAGATGTAAAGTTCATGATGACAGATGTTTGGAAACTCTAAGAGTTAACTTGTTTTAACCAAACTTTGGGTCAAATACGGACAAACCCAAACATTGGTTTACAAATATAATTAAAAAATTGAACCCAATGGCTGGGGTTGTCCATATTTGACCCAAAGTTGGGCTAAATCAACCTATCAACCTTGTGTAGATCTTCCTTGCATCGATTTGAGGCACAGACGGTTTAGTTGTGAACAGGGTAAGCTAATCATGAATTCTCCTGTGGAAAAACTGTTTAGTAACACACCCAAATTTCATAAACTGTAATGGGATTATTTCACATTGGAATAGAGGATTTCCAATTTGAACATGTAAAAGTGTCCATAGAGAATGTATAAACACTCAGTCATATTCTCTCGCACTAATATCTGTTTGTCTTTATAGATCCAGGTGTGTTTCCAGCTGTTGTCGCAGGAGTAAGTGCTGCTGTTCTGCTGCTGGGGTCTGCGGCTGCTGGAGTGATTCACTATCACCGCTCTAGAAAGGGTCAGTGTTATAGTATACTATAGTGAGAGGAAAACATTACGGGCCAGATTTACTAAACAGGGGACATTAGCGTGAGAGCGCCTCCTCCAAATGCATGTGCAATAAGCCGCAATAATAACCCTGTCCACATCTTTTCAGCGCTACTTTTTCACTGCGTGTCTTTAGTACATCCTGACAGCAAAAGAAGGTTTGCACGGACGCAATCTGTTCCCATGTGTTTTACAATTATAACACTGCTCTCTGGAATACTGGATTCTGATTGGTCAGTCGCAACAAAAGTGAAATGAATAATCCTCAGGCTGTAAATGTAAATTCACACATGTACAGCAGAGGGCACCACTTAAACAAACCTCTCAGCTCTGATCTGGGTGCAGTTTACGTATATACAAAGTTTCATTATAAAAACAAAAGTGAAACTTAAATGTGTTATTTATTAGGGCTGTCAAACGATTAATCGCGATTAATCGCATCCAAAATAAAAGTTTGTGTTTACATAATATATGTGGGTGTGAACTGTGTATAATTATTTTATATATATTAATACACACACATGCTTGTATATATTTAAGAAATATTTTCGTATATATTCTGTATATAGATTTATATATAATTTATATTACAATAAATATTTTATATATAAATAATATTTTTTTCTTAAATATATATATGCATATGTTTTATATATATATATATATATATATATACAAAATAATTATACACAGTGCCCCCACATATATTATGTAAACAGAAACTTTTATTTTGGATGCGATTAATCGCGATTAATCGTTTTGACAGCCCTAATATATATATATATATATATATATATAAATGAAGAGTTCAGATGCAAAAGCCTCTAAATGCCATTTGAAATTTTCTTCTAAAATGACCATTTTTATCAAGCTTGTATATTTAAGTTCAGTAATTTCACTTAAATGGGGCAATTAATAGGTAATCTTCATTGCCATTTAAGTGAAATTACTGAACTTAAATATACAAGCTTGATAAAAATGATCATTTTAGAAGAAAATTTAAAATGGCACTTAGAGGCTTTTGCATCTGAACTCTTCATATATAAAGTTAAATGTAAAACCGACCATATAACGGTCACAGATCCAGAAGTTTTCAAAGACGAAGATGATACGGAGATTTCCAACATGAAGGGTTTAATATGTAATGATAAGTCCACTGAAGGCAAGAACTCAAGTGCAGAATTTATACAAATAAGCAAAACATTATCAAACATAAAACATAACATGGACAATAACAGAACGCTTACACAAATAATATTTGATAAAGACACATGGCGAACGTGAGGGCTTAAATACACAAGACTAAATGACTAGGGACACAATCAAGACGATGAACCAATGACAATGGCAGGATCACAAGAACAGGGATCACATGACTGACATGAAACAAGAACATGAAACAAAACCAAAACTTGAGTAAACACAGGGTAATCCAAGGTCAAGTAACAGTGTGTGTGATACACAAACAACTGAATCAAATAAATCAATATGTGTGTGTGTGTGTGTGTACATTATCACATGGTGTGTGTTTACTTTTGTGTGTGTGATATTTGTGTGTTTTTTTTTAAAGCAGACAGAGAGAAAATCAAAAGACCTTACAAAGAACTGGAAAAAGATGAGGTAAGATTGTGTATCATAGATCTGTGTTTGATTTAATCTGTACCAGCAAACTCATCCTATAGTGGTAAATCAACTCATTTACTCTCTCACTTAATCTCTCTCTCTCTCTCTCTCTCTCTCTCTCTCCTTACAGAATAGAAATACAGATTGTGAGATTTGAGGATTCTATACTACAACATAAACCATACTGAAGCAAATAATCTGTGTGTTTCTTCAAGAGTCTGCTTTGTGTTTTATTTGCTTTGAAATTTGAATTATTTATTCATTTTTATTATATTAAAAATGTTTATCTAATTATTCTTACTCTTTGTGCTGCTTGCTGTTGTTTTAATCTCATGATTGTGTGTTTTCGATGTGTATTTTATTTAAATGTTTGTCACATGTTGATGTGGTGAAGCAGTCATTTTTCATTGCTTTTGCTTTGGTATTATAACACTAAGATTATTTAATAAACCACATGTTCACTGACACTCACTTCACATTTACACATTAAGCACTTTATCACAGGAGTTATTATAACGAGTGTCAGAGGAATATTAATTAATGCAGTTACTGGTTATACCGTCAGAAAAAAACATGAAGAGTCACTGTTCAGAAATATTACTTTCTTCAGGCCTCAGAGGGTGAAAAATAAAGATATTTCAAGCTTATAAAAAATCGTAATGTCTTTAATGTTACTGAACATTTGGAAGTCAGTTCTGGACATTAAAATCCCATTCATATTCTCCATAGAGCAACTTGTTATTTGTAATGATTCTGTATAAAACTAACACAGATCTATAGTAACTAAATGTATTTAATTTACAAACTCCACATGAAAAACTACAATATCCATAATCCTGAAGAATAAAATAGTCAGAGAATCTTAGGTTAATTCCCTCATGTGGCCTTTTACCTCCGTCTTACTGTTCTGTTTTCTTTTACTAATTCTAGAGATTGTGAAATATGATGAAAATTAATGGGACAAATACTTCCAGAACAAAAATGACTCTGTCAATGTTTACACTCTATAATTATATGTATTATGCATGGGGAAAACTACAATGTGAATATAATAATTATGATAACTAATGGATACAATAAAAATACTCCAGATTTTCTGTGGCATATTGTTGAAATGTAATTGTGTTTAGTGTATTTCAATATAATTAAATAATTATATTCATGGAGCTATTATGCAGTAATAGTTGTATATTTCAAACATTCATCATGGATTGCATTAGTTAGTAAAAA